ACCGCGTGGGCTTCCCTCTCTCGGCGCGTTCGAAGGATTCGGTGGCCATCCACTGGACGCGGCTCGGGAACGAGAGCGTCGCGATCGTGATGGACGGGGTCTTCGCGATGGCTAGCATCTCGGCCATGAAATCCTTCGTGAAGAACGTCGAGCTGCTGGCGGGGATCGATTCGGCGTGGACCGTGCTGTCCTGGTCGCTCGCGCCCGGGTTCTTGCGCGCACTCTTGCAGGATATCCGGGCGACCGTCATGCTGGTCGCCAACTGCGGCGAAACGCTGCGCGCCATCGCCCTCGCTAGAAGGCGGCACGTGGTTTGGTACGCCAGCTTGGCAGCGCTAAACCCCAACGAGTCCCTCGGCGACGGGTTGTCCGAGGGACCAGTGGACTATGACTACGAGTCGGGCCAGTTCTTGCTCGGGGATCTGAGCCAGGAGATAGCCTGGGCGAGGGATTTGCGGTGTGGGGGTCGGGTGTCACTGGGATCGCTGACCGAAAATTGCACGGCCTCCGTGTGGCGGCCTGTAGGGCCGAGGGCAGGCTGCCCCTTGGAGCCTCGGTAGGACTGCGCCTCAGGGCTTCGCCGCGGGGGGCCTTCCGAGATCCGTTCGTCGTCCACGCGGTCGAAGTCGTCAACCACTGGGCCCTGGCTGCCATCTCGGACCTTCCTGGGCAAGGGCCCATGAAAGCTGTCTGGGAGGAGGGGTGCAGGCTTCTCGAGAAGTCCAAGCCTTGGGCTCAGTGTGTGGACCCCGCGCAGGCGACCCTGTTGGCTCTGGCAAGGATCGGAGTCTCAATGACGTCGGCGTTCACTCTGGTTGTTTTCGGCACGCAGTACTCGCTCTTAGATTACAGTGCTGGTTTCTTTTGTGAGCGAGTGCGAGAGGTGGCTCTCGCAGCTTCTGAAGTGCTCGCGCTGGCGCGTGTGCCAGGTGCCTGGGTCAGCCAGCTGCACTGGTCGCCCATCGCTTGGTTGCTCAACAGAGGGGCAACGGAGACCTGGTCACAGCACCGCAAGTCAGTCATTCGCAGCCTCATCGGAGGCACGTTCTGGACACAAGCTCGGCTCTTTGCGCATGGAAAAAGTACCACCGACAGGTGCTTCTTGTGCGGGGAGCGGGGCACCCTCTATCATAGGTTCTACCAGTGCCCTTGTCTGCAGCACATCAGGAGGGAAGAGTGCCCTTCTTACTTGCAGGAGGCGGCTGCCAGAGTCCACTCCAGAAATGAGTCTCACGGGGAGCTGTTCTGCCGAGGCCTCTGTCCCAGTCCCAAATGGTGCTTTCCGCAGGTTGAGCCTGAGGTCAAGGTCTGGTGGGATAAGGTGCCACCCGCCTGGAGGTTCTCTGGTGATGTGTTTGTGGACGGCTCGGCCTTCCAGTTTTCGATGGCCGCTGGTTTCTCGATTGTGCAAGTTGATTTGTCTGGTCAGGTCACGGCTGCATGCTTTGGCATCGTCCCCTTAGCCCTCGGGCCGCTTCAGCAAGCGAGGGATGGTGAGGACATGGCCTTCTCGTTTCTCTCCGCCCACTGCGAGTGGGGCTCAGACAACCCTCTGCATGTGCACTGCGATTGCGCTGCCACCATCACCTGTGCCACGGACCCTGGAGCGGGCTCTCGGTGATGCAGGCCAGGCAGCCCTACTGCAGGGATTGGTGGGCGGAGGACGGGGTCGGGCACCGTGCGAAAGTCACCAAGGTGAAAAGTCACCAAGCTGAGGCCAATGCTAGCTCAGACCATGAGGTTTGGCTCATTCGGGGCAATGCTGCCGCTGATGCTTACGCCAAGCGAGGTGCTAGGTTGTGGGACCTTCCGCCTGAGCAAGTCCAGTTCTTTCAAGGACTGGAGTGCATGGCTGCTGCTGCAGTCAGGTGGCGTGCGAGGGCCCAGCAGGTCTTTGGTGATTCTGGGTTTCTGGACTCTCACGGTGTTGCTGGGACCTCGGATGTCACGCTCGAATTCGACCCTTCGCTCTGGGATGAACTCCAGGGGGCGTGTTTGGAGCAGGGGGTGAGGCCTTTTGAGGATGTCCCGGGAGTTAAGCTGCTGGATGCTGCTGCTGCCCCTCCTCCTGGGCCCCCTCCTCCGCCTCAGGAGTTTGTGGTCCAGAGCTCGGGGACCCCATGGTTTTTAATGGGCACTCGGTTGTCCAGGCTGCGCTCCTCCAGATCGAGGGAGGGGTGGAGGTCCAGCCTGGTGATGCGGTCCTCTTCTGTAAATCCTGTGGGGCCTCTTGTTTTAAAAATGTTCGGAGGGGCGAGGGCCTGGGCGGCCCCTGTAGGGGCCCCTCCGCTCCAGGGCTTGGTGCCCAGCGGTCCCGCCTCCAGAGGGTTTTTTCCTTGGCAGTCTAGGGGGTCGTGCCCTCGCCGTTCGGATCGGCGACGCGTCAGGCCCGTCCGCCGCGCAGGTGGCTGCCTGGGCGCCGAGGCTCAGGTCGCTGGCCGAGGCTCCCGCCGCCGTGCTTGGCGGCCAGGGCGGGGCTGGGGCCAGCGCCGCCGACTCG